TTTTCCCGGATTTCCCGGTACAATGAACCTGTAAATACTGTACATAGCGTCTGTCTTCTCTGTCACGACCAGTGGAAGATTAGCTTTCCAATGAGCTAAACTTTCACTTTTCACACACACACACACACACACACACGAACGCAATCTTTTAGGGGGTGGTGGATGTTGGGTGGCAACCGTAAAGCGAGTCAGGCTACACTTTTAAAGGCTACTGAGAAATAGCTTAAGGTCCAAAACAAAGAAAATTGCCTTATTTATGGAATTATCATGCTCTTTACCGTGACGCCTTCGCTGATAACGTCTAGGTCTATTTAAGTATGATATTTTTGTACTTACGCACAATGACTTGAGGCCGGGTCAAGGAAAGTCCAATGACAAAGAAAAATGCCCCTCGTGATACACAAACACAAAGGTGACGGATCACAGAAACTGAACGCGTCTAGCTACCGAACGGTATCGCGAAAGAAAAGAAGGTAGTATCGCGCCTCTACTTCGCCGGAATGGACGAGAAAAAGCTGAATCTTGAAACATGGTTGGAGTGTTGGGTAAGTGTTGTCTTGTTATGTACTGTCTGTTGAGACGCAGTAACCAGGATTCCTCGCCATAAGGTATAGATCTGACTTTTTGTTTTGTTTCACGAAGGCCTTGACAAAACCGACAGCACTAGTCTAGCCTCCTGTAGGCCTTATTTCTACGGGGGTACGGATCGTAGAATCGGTTACTTAAAAGGGAAGAATATTGATTGGCCGGGAAAGTCAGTCCACGGGAAGGTTAATTTTGTCCGTAAATGAACTCAGCGGTGGCCAATTATCATTCCTATTTGGCCAAATTACACTGACTACGCGCTTTCACATTCGTCGTAAGCCTGTGTGCCATTTCTATGTGAAAAGATTTTCAAGAACGCATAGACAAAAGCTGCCTTCGGTGAAAGCAACCTTTTCGAAATTAACTGAAAACGCCTTCATTTTTCACGACACATCTCTCGATTTCAAGGTCCATATATTTACAAACACACGTACATATGCACGCACACACACACACACACACACACACACACACACACACACACACACACACACACACATAGACCGATACGTGCGCGCGCGCAAGCACAAACACAGACATAAGCACACGCGCCAAATACACGCCCCCACACTTCACATGTACAGGGCTACTGAGAAATCGGGTCAATTCATCAAAGACAATGGCTCGCTTTATCGTTTATGAAAATCCTATTAATCATTAAGAACATTTTTATGTTCTTGGTCATGACGGCGTCACTTCTGTTCACTGTGAAAACTGGACCCGATATGCTTGCACGCAAATGAATTGAGCTCAAAGTGGTGTGGGAAACTCTTTCTTATGAAGTGACATTGATAGTAGCCTGGTTACCAAACCTATTATAGCTCCCGAGTCCTACATGCTATTTGCGGAGAGGCTGGGGACGTATTTATTTATTACTCCGTGAAGGAGGTCAGGACCTCCGGACGGAGTGTTGTGAACAGCCGTTTTCGTTTTCGCAAGCAAAACACTGGGTTCTCTTTGTGTAATATAATCGGCATGCAACTTCAATGCGCCGTCTGCGGGCATGCCCGTGTTGATGCACGAATGTGTATTTTTGCTGTTGCTGCTTTCGCGGTCAATGTAATATTTTAAATGCACCCCTACAATTTTGAGGCAAATTGGAATGGTCCAGAAAACCCGTTGTTTGAAATAGCGGGGGGGGGGGGTCGGGGAATCCTTCAAGCAGATGTGGAGAGGGGCCGATGTGGTGTAACATTATTATATGTCCGTGATGATGCACGTCTTTTTATTTTCACCGTAGCAGTTTCTATATCGAAGTAAATGCATATTTTAGAAACATCCCTACTTTTACAATCCAGTGGAATAGGCCGTAGGTTTAGGTAGTTGTTTGGTAGCAGAGGTTTTGTAAGCAGATATTAGGTGGCTGTTGTGCATAATGGTGGCGAGTATCTTTTGGGATTGTGGTTTGCACCTACTGCGATACCTTGTCAAATAAATAAAATGTAGTAAATGAAGGTATTGTTATGAAAGCTGACTTTGTTCATTTATTTAGATTGTCGTGTTGTTGATTTTATGTAGCGTGCTGTGATTACACTAGTCAGTCTTAAACTGTTTCCCCAAGGGGGCGGCAAACCTCTGGGCAGGTGGCCACCAGGAGCGCGATTTTTTTAGTCAGGCTAGATTATTAGACCAGGGATTTAGCCAATTTTACTATACGTTGTTACCAGTTGTTAAGTGATCACACACTGTTTACATGCACTATTACTGTTCTCAATCTGCAAAGTATAAAACTTGAATTCACTGAGAATTGTCGCCTATGGACACTTGTTTTTATTTTTTTTGAGAACAGGCGAAAATCAATGCCATCCATAAAATTCAGTCTGTGGGGCCTAAAGGTAAGTTAACTGAGGATTTAGCACGATTATATTAGAAACGAGAAGAAACCGACTATACTGAATTGTAGGTATTTGACGATGTATATATGCATCGTTATCTGTCTTCCATACCTTTGTTGTAACCAGTACTTGACCCAGCGGGTATGTGTGTGCAATAAAAGGTCTTCATTCATTCATTTTGTAAACACAACATGAGGTTGACTAGTAAGTGTTTCCACTTTCGTCGTAGGCCGGTGTGTGATTTTGATGATGTCATAGGATTTCCAAACACGTCTAGGCCTACCGGCGAACTAAGTTTCAAAGCAGCACTTTTGGTTTTGTACGGCACAAGCACGGTTATAGAGGGGACTAGTACTGGGCATCTAAAGAAAGACAAATAACTAAGAACAAATGAAGTATTGTTGAGGGAGCTAACGGAGCTAACTGCTAATATGATAATATTAATTGTCTACTCTTCAGCCGGAGTTTCCAGAAATGAACGAAGACAACGTCAAGGTATTGTTGCTATGTTGTATCACCTTTGATATCAGCTTTTTATATCACCCATGAAATGTCCATATATTTCATTTTAGCTATTAAGTGTGAGTGTGTGTGTGTGTGTGTATGTGTGTGTGTATCTGTGCGTGTGTACATTGTATTTGTGTGTGTTTGTGTGTGTTCTGTGTGTGTGTGTGTGTGTGTGTGTGTGTGTGTGTGTGTGTGTGTGTCTTTAATTTTGCTGGTGTGGGATATGCTTCTGTGTTTGCCAACCTGGGGTGACGATTGTAAAGATGGAAAAAAATTGATTTTTTTAAAAACAAATTTAAAATATTTGTCGCTAAAGGAATACTTGAAGATCGTGGACAAGCTGAAGATATTCGTGAAAGTTGCAGACGAAAAAGGTGAGAAAGTTACTTTTCTGAATATATTTGCAACAGGTGCAACAGTTTGCATTATGCAAATAAAAATCCTAACCAATAATCCAGCTATCCAGCTGTTGTATTCTTAGTTATATGTCACTTCATACTATATTTATATCAATGTAAATCATTGTTTTCCCTTGTGTTTCTCCTTCTTTCCCTGCCATGTCGTAAAATGGATTCAATTTTAGGGCCAAATGGCCTGACATTTGCAGAAGGCTTTGGAAGATTCCATTACTGCATGGAGGTTGGAACACTTCACAATTTTTGGACAGGGGTGATTTAAGAACAATCCATTTGTGAGGGATGGGGACAGGCCCATTTTTGGTACAGGGATGTGGTAAAAGCCATCTACTGCATTTGCTCCAAAGGAAATGTAGGCTAGTTTATTGAAATTTCTTGTTTTCTCTATTTTTTTGAGGTTCGTCACCCAAAACAGCTCTTGCGGCCAGGGCAATCATGGAAGCAATGTATGGGCTCACCAGTGAGTGCAAAAGTCGGGAATTTGCAGCAACAATGGAACATACTCTGTCTGACCTACGGACCATTGCAGAACAGCTGTAAGCAAAAACAACAACAATGATATAGTTTATACAGAATCTGTGTGAAATATACGAATAAGTGATTTTAACCCCAGTTGTGGAAGAGGAGTATGTTCCATCACAAAAATGTTTTCTTTTGATAATACATTGACTCCCAGGATACATATTAAACCTCTTTTCCTTGACGCCTATACAATGTAACTTCAGAAAAAAAAAATGTTTTAAAAATTATTTGTCGCGTAACATGGCAATATTCGTTTTCTCAATTCTTCATTTTCATTTCATTTTCTTTAGATCGCAGCAAGATCCGGAAACGAGCTGGAAAAGCCTTGAAGGGGTAAGTTACGACAAAAAATGTAAGTTTTTGAGAGATTTTCAACTTCCTCTGCCATGATAACAATTGGTATTATCAATGCTGCATTTCTAGTTTTGAACTTTGATGACCTATGGACGTCTGGCAATAAAATCTGAAAATAGTTTTGTGTGAGATTATACATAAGCCCATCAATCCAATAGCATACTGGTATCTTTGAGACAAAAATGAGATTTTGCTTACATGTTTTGTATTATAGGCTGTTTGGTGGGGGTATACCCCAAAATTACAAGAGGAACCTCGTGTCGTTTGTTTTTTGAGCCATTTCAAACACTCCAAGTATGAAATGATGACGAAAGAAATGGCCCTAAATGTCAATATCAATAAGATTTCCCCAGCCAGACTATTTGTCGTTTTGCCGCCCTGAACTTGTATTGTCTTTAATCAGGTTTACCAAAGAAAAACATTGTTTTTAGTTTGTTTCCTTTTCTTCTTCCCCAAACAAATAAGGTCAATGACCCGAACCAGACGTCTATCACCATGGTAACTAGTGTTGGGTTGCATCATGTTGCAATTTTATAGTAGGAGGGATTTAGACTCCTGTCACCATGTATATGAATGTGTTTAAATAAGAATTAACCACATGCGAAGGCAAACATTAAGCATTTGCTTTTCAAGTGTTTCTAGTTTACACATGTAATTGCTTATGATAGATATGTCTATCAACACTACAGGTGTTGAACAGCATCAGGAGTTTCTTTGGCCAAGAAATTCAGGACATCCGTAAGGATTGTCACCACGACCCCAGGCAGGGGATAGAGTGCGTGACAAAGCAACTGCAAGACATGCACAAGGACTACATCACCAATCAGATCAAGTGGCAGGTGATTGTTACCTTCGCAAAGAAGGTTATGTTTTCGGTGGCGTATTTGTGTGTGTTTGTGTGTGTGTGTGTGTGTGTGTGTGTGTGTGTGTGTGTGTGTGTGTCAACACGATAACCCAAGAAGGATTGGGTGGATTGTCTTCAATATCTGGTAGTCTTCATGAGACTTCACAAAGAATTAGATTCTGGGCCCCCTAGCGGCTCGTTGTGGTACTATAGCGGAATTTTGGTTTTGAGATCTCCTGATCTAGACATGCCAGGGTCATGAATTTTAGGTGGTAGATTTTCTTAAAACTTCATTCAACACAAGGGGTTGTTCTCACCTAGCTATAGTCACTGGTCTTTTTAATTTAAACATTTATAACTACCAACACACAAGAGCTTTCATGATAACCATACAATATGATTATCTTTTAACAAGGAGGTTAAAATGTACATTTTTAAAATGTACATTTTTAACCTCCTTGGTTTTAATCACTGAAGTATTATTTCTTTACATATGAGCGGTCGTTCTTGTATTTTCAGTGTGGCCTCAGCTTGCTGATGGCTTTGTACACACTCTGGGAGTCCTGGACAACATTCTCCATCCTGCACGAGTTTTCTATTGCAAAAGAAAACTACAACAAGGCACTGGAGCAAGTCGTCGCCACGCTCTCAGACGTTGAGGAGAGACTTGTAGGGCTTATCAATGACTTTCATCAGGTAATCAGATTTATGTTCCGGATGTAACAGATGTTATAGTTTTGGGTGGCTGGGTTTTTGTGCTTCGTGAAGGGTGGGAGCATTGTTCTTGGTGACTGAGTTTTTGTTTTTCGTGGAGGGTGAAAGTACTGTTCTGGGTGGCTGAGTTTGTGTGTTTCGCGATCGTGGAGGGTGGAAGTACTGTTCTGGATGGCTGAGTTTGTGTGTTTCGTGGAGGGTGGAAGTACTGTTCTGGGTGGCTGAGTTTGTGTGTTTCGTGGAGGGTGGAAGTACTGTTCTGGGTGGCTGAGTTTGTGTGTTTCGTGGAGGGTGGAAGTACTGTTCTGGGTGGCTGAATTTGTGTGTTTCGTGGAGGGTGGAAGTACTGTTCTGGGTGGCTGAGTTTGTGTGTTTCGTGGAGGGTAGGAGTTAATTGACAGTTGATGGTTGACAGGGAGGCCAATGTTGAAGGCGAATTAACACGCGTTGGGTCCATGGGAGTAAGTGGGTGGTATGTGGAGTAATACGAGATGAAATTACATCGTACAATCAGCCTTCATAATTCCAAAAAGTTTCTTCCTTTCTTCCAAACAAAAATCAAAAAAGGTCACTGACCTGGACCAGATAGCTGTCACCATGGTAATGTATGCTGTAGCAGACACCCGGATTCCTTTACATTTATGTAGCAAGTGGCAGGACTGGGGCTGGTCAAAATATATACGAATGGGCTGAATAAAAACATTCACGAAGCCCTGAACATATTAACGGAGTATTCATCCCTCTCTGAGAGTTTTGAAATGTCCCTTCTTTTTTTTTTCAACATGCAGGGTCTCCCTGTGAAGACTGACGCTGTGCGCGTGCTCCTGGTTCACATGCAGAGAGGAACTATGGAACTGGACAAAGCCAGGTCTCTTCTTCAGGCGGACAAGAACAACGTCACTGCCAGGCGTTCGGAGCATCTTGCGGGATCTTTCGCCAGGTACGAGTATTATATATTATCCAAAAATGGGACACAAATATTTACCTTTACCTTTCAGTTAATTTTACACAGGGTCAAAATCATTTGCCGGTCGATCAGTGCAATTGAATAATTTTCTGCCTTGTCTTTATGTATACAGCGTGATCAACTCATACAGATCCATCTCTGAGTACCTCCTCGCAGCTTCAGCGGGAGTCAACCCCTTCTACCAAACCCTGGCGGCGGTGTCTGCGTCCGTGGGTGGTATATCGGCACTCGTACACGGTACCATGGCATACAAGTGTCACAAGGCCATTGCTGAGGCAGACGCACTTCTGACTGACATCAAGACCTATGAAACCAAGTAAGCTTCACTTCTTTTACTTTTTGTGTCCCTCCTTCGTATAAATTTTCAAGCTTCATGTATCTATAACTATTATCTTTCATACGAGACGTCTGCACATGTTTACTTTTGTAATAGTAATCTTCAGTGCAAGTTTATACCCGAGGGCTAATTGCAAACTGACAAGAACAGTCAGTACAGAATGTATTGAAGAATGGTATAAAACCATGTGATAACGTATAAAGGTCTACCTTTATATCTAAGCTCTAATCTATCTCCAAATAGAAAGGTAACATGATGTAACCCAACACTAGTTACCATGGTGATAGACGTCTGGTTCAGGTCATTGACCTTTTGTGTTTGGAGAAGAGGAAACTGAGCAAAAACAATATGTTTTTCCTTCGGTAAACATAATTAAAACGCGTGCTTATATGGGACAGAGAGAGGACATGAAAAACATAAACAAATAAGAGTATGTCAACTACCATTCAATTTGTAGTAAAGGTATATTCGGCATCATTTAGTTCTTCCAATTTTTTTTTTAATTTCAACAAGCCGTAACAACTGTAGTTATGTATAAATGTTTTATCCATGTTGATAACTATATTGTTCACGTTTTACAACCAGGTTGGAGAACACAGTGAAGAAAACCGAAGAGTTTCTGCGTCATCTTCACGAAAAAGTGAACAGCAAGAGCGCCACCGAGAGTGTAGCGGAGGAACAACAGATGACTGTCAACACTATGCTGGGCGTAGTGGCCGTCACTGTGGTCATACTTGCGGTACTGTGGGAGTACTTCACATACCGCTGATGGTCACGAGATAGCCTGTGAGAGTAGTACTGTGAGCTTTGTTTGTTTGATTGTGGTAGTAGTAGTAGAATGGTTTATTTCAATTCACTGAAAAAGTACAGCCCAGTTGCAGCCCGAAGGCCGAATTGTCAGGCTTGTTTACAAACTTACTAAGTTAAATAATGGCACCGTTTAATCATTTTATGACCTCATTTTGCGCTTATACACATCCTTATTTGGTCTTCCTGAGTTTTTAGTCAACATATGAGTCACCATGTGACCAATGCAAGGTGGTCTAAATTTAGACGGCTGTCATCGTGGTAGGAAATGAAGTAGACTGTTTGTTTATGTAGTTTGACTTCTTATATCAAGTAAAAGATCAATAATAGTCACTAACAGTTAACACATGCATTCTTCGTAAGTCTCTTTGCACATCGTTTGGGTTTTAAGGTCGATATATTTGAAGCCATATTTAATTTTGTAGCCATGCTATTTCAATTTTTAAAGAATGTGCAAGACTCTCAGTTTCACACGTGATTTAAAAGAAAATTTGTTCTCTGTATGAAATGGTACGTACAACTTTTGCCCTATAGAATTGTATCTGAAATGTATTATTTCACTCGATTGTGTTTTATTATTTGTATATTATGTCACCACCAGCACATATGACAATACATAAAACATCCAACGCCAGTAAAGCATATTGTGTAAATTAACATGTAATTTAATAATGACATAAGGTAATTTTGTTCCAATCAAAACTGATAGGGCGTTGACTATAGATGACACAAAAAGCATTTTGGATCAGTCAGAAAAGTTTGCAATTTAAGTAATAATTGAGAAAGGTAGATACCCTTGAAATAAATGCAGTAAAATATACTCCATTGTCCATATCAGTAACAAAATCAGTCGTTTTAATTGTAGCTATAGCTTGCTGTCGGCTGTATTAGTGCAGTGTAAGAAAATGACTAATGCTTTATGCACAGGTACAAGCTGGACTAAAAACTAGGTTAGGATTAATAAACAAGCTTTTTGTCGTTGAGGCTTTTTGTTGTTGTTTTTTGTTGTTGTTGTTGATGATGTTGTATGTAGCCATTGTTTTTACGTCTATTTTTCCACTAGATGTGTTCTCAATGCGTTATTTCTTCTACTACTAGGTGCGCATGTATATACATGTACTTTGCCTCATGATGGACAATCTAAAAATTATTGTTGAGCGGCGACATCTAGCGATTTACAGTTAAAGTAAAGTAAAAGTTAAAGTACATAGTCAGACTACAAACAATGGTACAATGTACAGAACTGCAAACAACGTTGATTGACGCCGTTTCGGTCCATTCGAAATTCTCTCAGATTTTTCTTGCTCCGTGATGCTTACTACTAATATTGGATGACAAAAAAAAATCCCTCTGAGAACAAATGAAGTCATATTTAGATTGATAGCCAGGGAATCGAATATTAATGGCTCAAATTACTTGATGAAATGAACTTGATGAAATTTAAACAGGGCAGAACATCATCATACAAATTCTACCCTAACATTAACAAACCAAAGCTCAACCACACCGAACCTATATCATATACCCTATCTCTAACTAGCAATGTCAGGATAACAGTACGATAAGGTCGGGTTTGATTATCAGAATAACATGTATAACTAGAGAATTAACATTTGCAAAGCAAATATATAATGTTTACCTTCGGACATGGTCTGCTCTGTTACTCAAACACATTCACATACATGTACTACAAGTATATGGTGACAGGAGTAGAGCAGACCATGAAATTGCAACATTATGTAACCCAACACCAGTCACCTTGGTGACAGACGTCAACAAATCATGTCATTGGCCAGGTCAGAAGTTAGTGTTTGGAACAGAAGAGGAGGAGGGAGAAACTGAGTTTTCCTTCGGTAAACATAATTATAGCATTGTGTTCATCGACAATTCAAACTCTACTACTGCCAAATTGATTCTTAATACGTTGATGAAGATTAGACATCCAGGTTAGACATGCTATGGTCTTGACTTTTTGAAGACACATAGCTTATCCTGTCAGGAATAAGTGGTGTGAAGTTGGTCTCCCTAGCAGCTTGTTCTGGAACTGCAGGGGACTTTCTGGCGAAACCTTTGAAAGTCAATAACTCCAGATAGGAACAACGTACTTTCATCATTTTGGTGTGTAGGTAGCTGAGAGAGAGTTGTACATAATTAAAGGAAAATTATGCAAATAATGACTTAATTTGCATAATTAAGGAGGGAATTCTATAATTACAGTGAATTCTTGTTTCTGTTGTTTAAGAGTACACTGAAAACATACCAATCATCCTAGTCCCCTATAGTTATTTCCTTCCTTCTTTAAGTTTGTACCAGTGCTTTGACGAGTAATCTTCTTGACATATCACTAACCAAATGTTAACGTTTTGTGTTATAAACGTCGCCAAAAATTAAACATAGCTTAACATTTGGTAGGATCACTCACAAAGTATACAAAGATATAGTCCAATTCAGTAATAGTCCAATTGGTAGCGATGGAATGAAAGATAGTGGTTTGTGTTACACGGTACCGGTCTTGTTGTACGTGTGTTAGTAAAGCAAATTTTATGGATGACATCCTCCGCAGACTCCAAATCTAATGCGAGCGGGCGAAAAAAAAAACAAGGCGAGCTGCATGAAAAAACAAGGTTCCTACATTTTAAACTTTTGACTCAATCATTGTACAAATGGTTTTGATTCAGTAGGAACATCACATATACACATCCAACATCACATATCACTGCATCAAAGTGAGAACAAAACATTAAATTAGAGCCTTTTCTTGTCTCCTCTATCTCTTCATATTTATCTGCCATCCACCTTCCGGCATGGCAACAGACATCTTTGCCCATTTTTGGCATGTTGACCACTGTCGGAAGGCAACAGAATTTCTTGGTTTTTTTTTTTTCAAAATCAGGCGAAAATTAATGTGCGCGCTGATGTCATCCATAAAAATTACTTGCTGTAGCCTTACAGTAACCAAAGTCAGGTGAAAAGCCGCCACACTACCGCGACTACGAGGATGACCAACCCCAGAACCACCAGCGGGTTACCACCTTGCTGACACGTAGCTACAGGCTCGGCAGTAGCTGGACTCTTGCTGGCTTAAGCACTGTTTATCTTCTCCTGAAGCAAGCTCAGAAACTCTTCGGTAGCCTGAGCAACACTGGCAAGCCTGACAACAATACAAGACGTTCAGAATTAGCAAGTTTTGTTTTCTTCGATGGACCTACCAGGGCGTTACTAGTACGTAGTACATGTAGTAGTACATGTTGAAGTCATGACTTTCACACTTCCCATAATGCCTAGTAAATATCACGGATATGACGTAAGAAGGGGACATACGTAATGCGACCGTGCGAGTAGGAGAGTCTTCGCTAGAAGGTAGAACGATAGAAGGTACGTCATTTTCTCTAATTCCAACAAAAATGCAATTATGACATGCGCTTTATACTAGATAAATAATGCAAAACAATATAGTTGACCAGTTTGTCGATAGAACTTGTTGGAAATATTACATCGAGGAAGGGGGAGGGGTTTGGTCAGTCATACGTCATATCCGTGATCTTAACTAGGCATTATGGGAAGTGTGAAAGCCATGAATAGTGGTAAAGTAAGGATGTATTTTTTTCTAAAAATTATAGAAGGTACCCCCCCCCCAGTCTAATTTCAAATCAGCATCTGCAATACCATCATCATCGAGTGACGAAGGATGATGTTATTGTCTGAAAGTGTTCTTGATTTTTTTCAGCTGTATGTTTAACGGTCCTCCTTTTTGTTACGCGCTGTCCAGCCTTTTCTTCTTAGTTCTTACCCTTCGTGTTTCACCGTAATAAGACAGTAGCGCTTTCCAGAAAAAGATTCAAGGTGTCTCTTACTTTAATTCGATTGTGGCGATACAATACACTGGCCACCCAGGCAGCATAGCTGATTTCGGGTGCCAAACAATACAAAGATACCAATACAGTAAACTAACAAGTAAAGATTAAGCTAAAATCAATCAGTTAACAATATAAAATACAACCAAGCATAATAAAGTACTCAATCAAGATAATAATAGCAATTATTGTTTTGGAGGTCAGAGGTCAAGGGCAATTGAATATAATACAATATGTGAGGAAATATATACATGTATAACGTAAGATTGTAAAAGGTTAATTTATGTGGTACCACGGGAAGGGCCATCTAAACGTTTTGTGGTGGAAATAAATGTCTCAAGTGCCTCAAATAGTTGCTTGTTAGTGTGCATGTTACAGCCTGGTAGCCCCTGTAGTAGAACAGATTCGGTTAGACGGTGTGGTGTGAGTTGCTCTACTGTGGAGGTTAAAATGTGACGCTGGCAGCTGTAGAGAGGACAGCGTAGCAACTAATGGGAAACAGTCTCAAGGTGTCTTACCTCTCTTCGTGTGCCTTCATCTTTTTCAGGAGTGCGTCTGCCTCTGCGATGGCCTTGTGGCACTGGTAAGCCATGGCGCCGTGAGCAATTGCCGAAACACCGCATATGGCCGCTGATGCCACTGTCAAGGCAGGATTCAGTCCAGCAGAACAAGCCATGAAGTACTCAGAGATGGAGCGGTATGTGGCGACAAGGCTGAAATCATGTCAACAAGCTCTTAGTATTGCTTACTTTGCTGCAAAGCAATGGTCTATTTGATAGGAAACTCACCAAATGGTCTTAATTACCACAACAAACGCTAGATTACGTCATGATCTTTATTTGATAAAAACAACATGGCAGGACAAGCTCCTGAATTGTGTTGTAAATTTACAGCAGTCTAAAATTCAGCAGTTTAACGATAAAATGCAATAAGTCATCATTGATTGAAATATAGTACCTGGTGACATGAATATAATTGAAATACAAGTTCACATACAAATACTCTGCAAAAGAATAATTTCAAACTCAATTTAGAACTGTTTCTGCTGCATCATAGTCATATTACAACTGTAATTTCCAACACAAGGAATATGTTTAGCAAATAGATCGAAAATCAATGACTTATGCATTTAAATGACGCAAAATGTTATGCCCATGCAAACTCACAGTATATGTTAGTGTATTTTGTTGTGTGGCGATGTTGAAATAAGTTTAAAAACATGAGTGCAGCACCACACGGCTGTTATTGTATTGTCATGTGTTGATGAATAAAAGAATTTATTTCTTGACGTTAGTAATCGTTGTTTAATTCTATGTTCTGAAGTTTTTTTAAAGCAAATTCCTTTGATGAATATTTCTAACTGAAAGGTGCTTTTAATGTAAATTAGTTGTAATTCAGACTTTCGATTGTCTGCCAACCGCAAATAAAGTTTCCTTGACTATCAAATCTAACCAGCTCTAGCTATTTGTATCATTTTTAGATCATATAAGTATTTCTGTTCAAACACGTGCTACATGTAAACACCTTTACCTGTGTTAACAAATTTTTATAACCTCTTACAAGTGAAAAAATCAGTTATCACCCTTGTAACTCATTTTTCACCAGTAAGATAATCGAAAAACTAGAAAGGCCGACATTTGCTTGGGAGGAAATACAGCATATTTCAGTCCATCTCCCTCCCACGCAAACGTGGACTATTCCAAACTTACCCAGTGCAAAACTGGCAAAGGTTCTCAAATAAATGAATTAAATAGTAGCTACAAGTATATGAGAACAAAGATGCAACAACAAGTACTTTGAATCTCTAAAGCTTCACTAATCTTATTACAGGTATGCAAAAACTAACAATCATGAGATTTGATACATTTTGAAGGTCTTAGGCACATAAAATTGAATGTGTGGGTCATTACGCACCACTTAGGTGCAATGTGACCTCAGGTAACCCGCAATGGAACACGTGTTCCATGGATGGAACCGGCCATTCTTTAGATAGAACATGGCGGGTACAGCACTTTTGGCCCTTTTTTTGCTGAAAATAGCCATTAAAGTCCCCCAAATGAGTCATTTGGAAGTGGTGTATGCCAAATATGTGACTGCTATTCTGTAGACACATGTTCAAGGTACCCTTATACCGAATTTCAGATAATTTGGTTGTAAAACCAGCGCTCAGGATCCAAAAATCCATTTTTTGGGCGAAAAATGCCCCATAAAACCTTCATAAAAATTTTTCAAAGGCATGTATCAAAAAAATGAAAAAAACGCCTGGGGGTATTGGCTCACTCTACCTACATGCCAAATTTCAAGTCATTTGGCTTAATGATGGCGGAGTTGAATCCCTCAGAGCGAGTGGCAGGAGAAGAAGAAGAAGAAGAAGAAGAAGAAGAAGAAGAAGAAGAAGGAGAAACATGAGGGAACACAATATATTTCATCCATACCATGGTATGGACTGAAATATAAAAAGACCCTTGCAACTCAATCTAAAGGGTTTGATATGTCCTCTACTAGGCTAAGCAAAAAACCTGTTAACACCCCTCTAACTCATTTATCACTAGTAAGAGAATCGATAGGACATTTTACTAGGAGAAAAAAATGAGTCAACACCTACGAGTAACTCATTTTTCACCAATAAATGATAATTTATTGGGTTAGGCTCATACAAGTATTAAATACTACGCGCCAGCACCACTTTTCCGCTTATTTCGTCTTTTGCACAGTATTTCAAATACTAACAAAATAAATGTGGTAAATAATCTGGTCTTATCTAACCTGGCGACGGTTCCAATGACATGTGCCGTACGTCTGAGACTGACGTTGTTCTTGTTCGCCTGGAGTAGTTCTTTTGCCGTATCCAGTTGCTCCCTCGCCCGCTGTAGTTTGGCAAGGAGTCTTTCTACGGTGATTGGGTTCACGGCTTGGCCCTGAATTCAAACAAGCAAGCATGCCTGTAGCCAGGGGGGGGGACCCCCCCCACACACACACAAGGCTCAAAGGTCCACTTTTTATGTAAAGGTCCAAGATTTTTCTTGAAAAGATGGACTGGAATATGAAAAACTGCTCCCTTTGTCATTGAATAAAAATTTATCTCTAATTTTTTTTCTTGAAAATCCTCTCAAAAATGCACGAAATGTCATTTTTCTAAATTTCCCGGGGGAGCATGACCCGGGGACCCCACTAGGAACCTCGTGCCTACG